GGGGCTGAATTCTGCACCCTGGTGACTTTTAAAGGGGTGTGAACGGTGTGTGTTTGACCTGAAGTGGTTGTTTTGTCAAGGAATTTGTATTTCTGATTCTCTACAGGTCCTAACTGATGGGCCATTTCCACAGTGTGACACCAAAAAAGACCTTAAGGGCACTTTAACATTATTTCCGTACCTTGTGCGAAACCTACGAAATGAATCGGTGGTGAGGAAATGTTCAATACAAAAAGCTCTTTGTTCTTTACTTATCTTAACCATGGTCTCAGCAGGTAAAGGAAACTTGAGAAAAACAATCTGCAAACTTCTGTTGGCCTGTCAGACTACTGTAGCTTACAATATGGCCCAATCGTTTGGGTTTTTAGTGGTAGGCCTAATGCAAACTAGTGCGTCATGGGGATATAGCTGAAAATGGGTTGTTTTTTTATGCGCTAGGTAGAGCAAAACTATTATATGGATTTATCTAAAATGAATATCAGACAAATTCCTTTTGACTTTCAAATGTTGTGTACAAATTTGAAAGCAAAACCTTCGTGTGGAGGAAATCCAAAGTGTTCACCAAGATTATCAAGACATAGACCACACACGAGCAGGTGTGGAGGGAATGTACAATTTTAATGTACATGCAATCCAGACTGTTTAATACTGCCACCCATAGTCAAGGAAAATTAATGTGTCGGTGACCTAATGTTTAGGCTCTCAGACTCGCGCCGTAATGTCGTGGGTTCGAATCCCCCCCCCCCCCCCCCCCAGGGACCCGACGTAGCTTCCTTGGGAAAAGCACTTTAGACGAATTTTCCTCACTTCACCCAAGTGGGAATGGGTACCCAGCAATAGTTTGTTAGTGTTTAAGCGCTTAATTAGCTGCTTGCACTGTATGCTTCCCGGGAAACTGAAAATGTTTCTGAGTGTTCTATGGTCTGCTGGGGTAATAATATAATGTACCTTAAAGCGCATAGAGCTTGCTGAGGGCGGGCTTATACGCTATACAATAAATGCTATTTATTATTATTATTATTATTATTATTATTATTATTATTATTATTATTATTATTATTATTATTATATCATTTTTATCATTATTATCATTATTATTATTATTATTAGACAGGTGGCCACCTTACGCAGTCCCATATTAATGTACAAAAATACACAAGGGATGAGATGGGAAGTGGCCGTTAGTACAAAATGTTTGCCTAATACAGGAGGCGGTGTGATTCGATTAAAGTGGACTTGGTCGTCACCAGCCCAGCCATATCTGTTTAACACGACAGCATGAGAAACATTAATTCAACGCTGCTAATGTCGGAATGAACAGCGTTACGTGCTTCATTTTATATTGTTGATTTTTCTATACAAGAGGGTATCTCCATTTGTCACTGACATTGGTCATTAAACAGGTTGCTCACCCCTTACAATAATGTAATGTTATTTAAGAGGCAGTGCCCTTAGGGTGCGGTGGCGGAGTGGTTAGTGCGCTCGTCTCCGAAGCGGAAACTCTGGGTTCGAGCCTCGGTTCGGACAGGGATTTTTTTTCGCCCCCCTCCTGCCCACCCAGCAGTAATGAGTACCTGACTTCGAGTTGGGGAAGTAAAGGCGGCGTGAAAAGGAACTGGCCACCCCACCCCAATATGCCGATGACCCAGGAAGTTGTCTCACTAATAAGGCTAATCCCCAATGTCCGGATCGGACGCGGGAACATCTTTACTTTTTACCCTTAGGATGTTGAGGCATTGCCACAAGCTGTGAAAGATCCTGAAGACCGTATCTCATTTTCCGTGGCACGACTTTCATCCATTTTCCTGCAGTTTGAACTGAAGACGCATATTAATGGCTATAATTCTCCAAAAGGGCAGAAAGAAAGTCTTTGTGTGTTTCTAACTCTGACTTACCCAGAAGAACAGAGACACTTTGATGGTAATACGGAAGTCATGTCTTTTTTCACGTTTTGAATCTCTTTTTCACAAGCCTTTGCGAACCCAGTGGCATGTCATAATGCTGTGTCATTCGATTGTTGTTTTGGGTTTGGGGGGGGGGGGTTTTGTTTTTTTAATTTATTCATTTGCTGATGCACAGCTTTTGAAAAACAATAAAAAGGATTTTTATGATTCTATAATAGTGCCAGGTTCCATAGCTGTAGCTAGAGCGATATACATAATATTGGAAAAAAGACCTCGTATCGGTATCTTGTTGTATGATACGATGCTAACCACGAATCTCTCAGGTTACTGAAATCCTAGATGCCTATAGACCGAGCTGAAACCAACGCTCGTATCAGGTGAGAGAATGGGATACATGTACACCCTTATTGATAATGCTGAGTTGCAGGACTTAGACTTGTTGGATACCGCATCTCACCAGCCATGACACCACACCCAACGACTTTCATCCAGGCCGGATACCGTGTTGATGCGATGAATACATAAGCATTAACTTTCGAACTTGATCTGTTCATCTATCCCATAGCTATTGCTATTGGCTATCAAAATTATTGAAATATTTTGTTTCGTTGAGTAAGAGTTTTACGGCGCTCGCAAATTGCACAAGGTCGTATGAGGGCGCGAAATACAAGTTGGTTGCATTCACAACAGTTCACAGCACGGCTTGGTTTAGGTCCAATATGTTTATCTAAAATAAGTATATATAGCAGCACAATAGCACGACAGCAGCAGTATTGTGCAGATTTTTTGTCCAGTTTCACGGAAATATCGCTCTTCTTCTTTTTCTTCCTTCTTTTTCTTCCCTCTTTTTCTTCTTCTTCCTTCGTCTTCTTCCTTCATCTTCTCTTTCTTCTTTTTCTTCTTCTTCTTATTATTATTATTTGTTATCATTATTATTATTATTATTATTATTATTATCATTATTATCATTAATATTATTATTATTGTTATTAATATTGTTATTTTTATTATTATTATTATTATTATTATTATTATCATTATTATTATTATTATTATTATTATTATTATTATTCAAACGGAAAAGAACATGACAACGATGAATAAATATCCAATGAATATAAACAACAAAGACATAAAAAGAAATAGGACGTCCAATGGCTCCCTCGACCACTACGCTATTCCCAGGTTTCTAAACATACATCTCTCTCTCTCTCTCTCTCTCTCTCTCTCTCTCTCTCTCTCTCTCTCTCTCTCTCTCTCTCTCTCTCTATCTATCTATCTATCTATCTATCTATCTATCTCTCTCTATATATATATCTATCTATCTATCTATCTATCTCTGTGTATGTGTGTGTGTGTTTGTGTGTGTGTGTGCTCCCCTTCTCTCTCACTGTCTCTGTCTCACTGTCTCTGTCTCTGTCTCTGTCTCTGTCTCTGTCTCTGTCTCTGTCTCTCTCGCTCTCTCTCTCTCTCTCTCCCTCTCTCTCTCTCTCTCTCTTTCTCTCTCTCTCTCTCTCTCTCTCTCACTCACACACAAACACACAACTTCAAAAAAGTACACTGGGATTGGTTCGCCACTGAATGCTCCCAGATTCTGAGTCCCACTTTCGGCCTCAGCTACAACAAAGTTCACGAAAGGCTCCTAGAAATATGACCTAAATACATTCCGAAAACATCTCCAAAACCCCAGAAGAACAAAGCCTGGCTCTGTGGGGAGTGCGATGCTGCCATAAAGAAAAAAAAGGCTGCATGTCAAAGAGAGGTCGACAACACTACAGAGAATAAAATTGCATACCTAAAAGCTCGAGCTGAGACACGCATATGCTTCAGGGAGAGCAAACAGCAACCTTTTAGAAAGTCCGTCTCCAAAACTAACGGTCAGACACCCATCACCAACGTATTTAAAATAGAGAGTCTCGGTGGCACCACAGCAGAAACACAGATATCAGACACTGGAAACACTATCGATGAATACGTTTCCAAAAATTCATCAAAAACCAACTACAAAACCACTTTCCAAAACATCAAAACCAACAGAGAACAACAACACCTAAACTTCAACTATAATAACATAGAAACCTACAATGCAGGCTTCACACTGGACTAAATAACATCATGCATCTCTGCAAAAAATAGGTCTAGATTTATACTCTCCAAACAACAGAGCGCACGGCTAGCGAACAGAAACCTCACTTGTTTAAAATGGCGTTTTAGAAGTCGGACTTTCCCAAGAATAGATCTAAATGATATTAATGAAAAACTGAAAATTAAACTACAGTGACTTCAGGCTCCTCAATAAAACTGTGCACCCTTTAAATGATTCCGAATCATCACTAATTTTGTCAAATTCGAAAGTTTGGTGGTTCGGAAGCTTTAGGCGCCAGAGTGACGGGCTTTCACAAATATAATGTGTAGAAATGTACAAATTAACAGAATTTGTCCTCCGGCGTTGATCCCAACTGAAATCTCTATTTTTCACGCTAAAATATGAATATTTGTTATTTTTTGATAAAGTGTAAATTGGTAACTTTATAGTTCTAGCTCTTTATTTTACATTTTAGATATTATAATATTTGAAACCATCTCTCCTGGTCTAGAGGTAGGGTGTTCGCCTTTCATTCAATAGGACCCTCGTTTCAAACCTTACAGCGACGATTTTTTAAAATCTAAACATTTCTCCTTTTGTTTCTCCTTTCCTGCTGTGGCATCTGTTTTCATCTCTACTTTCTGCTCCCCCCCCCCCACCCCCCACCCCATTTCATCTGAGCTCCTGACTCTTTCTACCGCTACTTCTGGCTCCTTCTTACAGTTACAGCTGTCTTTCAGCCACATCCCTGTTCTTAGGGTAGGTAAGATCAAACACCTAGCCTTATCAGATAAGGGCGAAAATCTCGGAGGTCCCGTTTGCAAGTTGCGCACATGAAAGATCTCTCGTGATCCTAAAATCAATAAGAGTAGACTTTGGCCGACATTCCGATAAAATTTTTAATCAATTCCCAACAAACTGTATTAATAATGCGTCCCGCGCGCTCATGCGCATGTATGCAGTTGCGTGCTCACTTTGTCTATTTCTTTCTCCCTGTCGCCGTCCCCACTTTTCCAGCATATCGTGACTAATGTAACACAAGCAAGAGCCACTGGGTTTAGATTACCCAGGTAAGTAATCTGCACCCCGAAACACCCCAGCCCGGCTCACTACAAAAGCCAACGGTACAGGATCGACCACTTCTGTCCATAACAACCACTGCCACACACAGATTGTTAAGCAGGTTAGCGGTCCAAGCAGCTGCAGTCGTGACGTCACTCAGCATAGTCAGGCCAGGATCTGGGCTTCCTTCAGCACCTTTGACTTAGTCAGGTACGATGTGATCATAAATGATTTCAGAGGGTTCTTATGGTCTAGAGGTACGGTTTATGCCTCTCATTCAATAGATCACAGGTTCGAAACCTGTCACCCAGGCAAAATTCAAAATTGATTCCTACCAAACTGAAAATGCTTACTGTGTCCCACGCACTCTTGTGGCTTTAGGCAGTTGTGAGCGCCGTAAAACACTTACCAAGACTAAATAAACAAATGTTTTTCTCCTCCATCGACGTGTTTATAGATCGTTTAGCAAGCGGTCTGCTTTGATACTAGTATCTGCTCACCCAAATACTGAATCCCTACCAAATGTACAGACATTGCTGTATCCTGTGTATTTTCTACGCGCTTTTTGAATTCGCAATTTAAGTCTTCGCTCATTCAAATCACTCGCAAAATTAATGTGACAGGAAGCTGGTGCATTGGTACCCAGATAGATACCAGCTTGCCAGAAAAAAGTCCGTCCAAAGAAATGTTAATAATTGAAACCAAAATTCATCGAAAGCTAGATCTTTTATTCGGATTACGTTCTTTATATCTTTATATAATTATGCTGTTTCACAAACGGCAAGAAACCACAGCATTTCACAGCGTGCGTGTCCTGTTAAGATTATCCCTAAAGGAAATTTTCCAAATTGACCCGTACATTATTGGCGTGGTACGAAATAGATATCCGTAGCAGTTTAATATCATGTTCCAAGCGAAAGGTCCATTTTTAAATGGGCTGCAAGTTTTGAAAGATTTTGGTTCACAACCAAAAAAAACGCGAATTCAAGTCCCCAGCAACACACAGTGAGGCAGCCAGTGAAACAACAAACACTTGAAAAGGTTAGGATGGTCCGTGATTCGATGGTCCTACCACCAAAGAAACGAATACAGTGTGGTAGTCTTGAGTTTTGGATACCTGTAGAATCTTTGAGAGAAACAATGAGTTGTGATTTTGGGCTAAAGCCGTACAAAATTGAAGTTCACAAAAGACTCACTGAAGGAACTTCAGGCAGCTTGGTCTATGTGAAACTGTTATTCAACGGCTCTGGATCCTAAGGCGGTCCATTAGTTCACCAAAGAGTATTTAAATAATAACTAAAGCTGTTTAATATTTATCACAGCGATGAACTATTACGGCATCCTCGGGCCTTTTGTCTTTCTTGATGAAAATCAGCGTCCCCTCGCAGTGAACTCTGACCGATAACTATCCTATCGATTTCGGAAGAAGCCTGGAACCATGCATTTTTGTATGGGCTGAAGGGAGATATAACCGAAACTTTCATAGAGATGAGTATACGTTAACAAAGCTGCAACAATGTCGTGCTGTGTAAATTGGAAAGTTTCAAAATAGTGCGCGCTCTCTCCCTCTCTCTCTCTCTCTCTCTCTCTCTCTCTCTCTCTCTCTCTCTCTCTCTCTCTTTATCTCAGTATCATTATATCTCTTTCATACACACTCTCTACCCTCGTCGGTCAACCCCAACCCACGTCTCTGCCTCTCCCACAATATTTCTTTCCCTCTATTAATCTGTTCCTATTTCTCTCTCTCTGATATTGGACGAAGGATTTCCCTGTCCACTCCGCAATTTTGTCGGTCCACCTCTATTTTTGCCTTTCTCCCTGCACAGTTCCCTGAAGAATGGTCTTGGAAAGGCCACACGGCCTTGTGACATGGCCATACCAATTCATTTTTCGTTAGACTTGCTGTCTATTGTGTGAGACCATGCTATATTGCTATACATTTCAGCCCACTGGCCGCATCATGATCGCAGACCTGATCCTGTTCTGCCTGGTTCTTACCATATTATTTGTTATCGGAGTCAGCCTTTTCCAGCCCAGAAAAGGCAAGATACCCGGTCCCCCATTCCTGTACGGACTTCGCACGGTGCTCGCTTCCCTGAGGAAGAATAACCTCCACGTCATCGCGGAGACCTGGGCCAAACAGTACGGCGACCTGGTCGAGGTGGACGCCGGGCTCAACAAAATCGTCTTCATCAACGACCCAGAGCTCGTTCGACGTCTGTTCTGCGACCTGGAATGGCGCGACATCACCAATGACCGGCCTCCCACCTTCATGGGCGAGTACATATGCGGGAACTATATGGATATCCTGACCGCCAATTTCAGCCCGGGACTGACGAAGAGAAGGAAGCTGTTTCACAACGCGCTCAAGTTTTACGGGGAGGGAGTCCACACGTTTGAGAGTCTCATGCAGAAAACGACGGGAGAACTGGTGGGTAGAATCAAACAACACGAAGGGAATGTACCTCTCTTTCAAGAAATTGTCAACTACATCTGCTTCGTAGTGGGCGTAATTCTGAAGGGGGAAAACACTACAGATGCTGATTTGGACATTATCAGAGATATGAATACCAATATAAACAAATGCTTCCGGTTTGAAAACGAGACGCTAATGCGATATTTTCCCTTTCTCCGATTCGTGCCTGGACTCCGGATAAAAAAGAGTGTCGATGATTTGATGTTTAGTGCTAAAAAAACAGAAGAGAATTTTTTCTGGAAGATTCGAGAATCGTCTAACAGAAGCGATGGGAAAGACAGCAATGATGGTGGCGGTATCGTGGCTTGCCTATTGGAAATGCAAAAGAAAATGCGAGAGGAAAACCTCCCAGACGCACCCTCTGACGCCGTGGTTGTCAATTTGATCATCGATGTCTTGGGAGGTGCTTACCTCAGCACGGCCAGTTCTCTGACCAGCCTGTTCCTGAACCTCATCAAAAACCAGAAGATCCAGGACCGAATCCACGAGGAGATCGAAGACGTGATTGGTGATGAAGTTCCAAGTTTTGAACATCGGCGCCTCATGCCATACACGGAAGCTGCTATCTTAGAGTCCTTCCGAATCTCCAGCGTGTCTCCTTTCTCCGTGCCCCACTTCGCCAACAACGACTTTACCGTCGACGGGCGCACCGTCAAGAAAGGCAGCGTTCTCCTACAGAACACCTGGTACTTCCACCACAGTGAGGACCTTTGGCCGGACCCCTGGACGCTCAAGCCGGAGCGATTCCTGGACGAGAGTGGTCAGCTGCTGGACTCTAACCACCCTGTCCGCCGGAACCTGATCGTCTTTGGCACTGGACGCCGGATATGTCCCGGAGAGAGCCTTGCCAGGTCACGTGTCTTCCTCATTCTTGTCACCCTGCTACAAAAGTACCGCTTCCTGCCTCCCTCCGGTGTTGAGCTTCCTTCATCTTCCCCCATAAACTGGACGCCTGACATTGTTTTCTTCTCCGACCCCTACATGTGCAAGGTCGAGGCTAAATCTTAAGTCTGGCGCTCCAGATACCTTGAGAATGTTGGAAGAATCACTTGTCAAATCTAGGTCACATCAAAGTGTCACAATATTTTAACGACAGAAGATATCAGTTGAGTATGAGTGAAAGAAAGCACATCGACACGACAACAACAATAGTGTACAGGAAAAGCAAGATAAATCAGAACGAAACAACAGAGGAAGAGCACAGAATCGGAACCTACCAATGGCGGCCTCCGAGCACTCATCCCTACACACACATGAAGGTAGCAAGGGCAAAACGAGAGATGTCAGGTTTCGTAAGTTTTGAGAAAACGAAAATCTATTTTTGAAGGTTTCTGGTCATCGCTGTGCGCATAGCTGATGTTTTTCCTTAAAATGACGTATATATCTGCTGTTCCAAAATCGATAACAGCGAGAAAACAGTTAATAATGTCTTCAATTTAGCGCGGGTCTGAATCAAATTTGAGGGGTGTTATGTTTGATTATTTTGGATACAATAATCTGTGCTCAAATTTGAACTGGTCAGACAGGCACCGCTGCATCAGCCATATTTTGGAGCAATCCAGAAAAGGCATGTTTCATTTGAACATAATAAAATAATATGTTAAATTCAAGCCCACAAAGATGCTTCAAGCTTGTTATTGCAGGGAGTATGGAGTTGATTATAGATCTAGATCTAGTACACCTTCTAAAAGAGGGTACAAACAATTCAAATTGAGAGGACATCGGTAAAGAAACCTTTTATGGAAGGGAGTAAGCATTAACAAAACGGGGCAAAATGTTGGAAATGGGGAAACAGTTTGCGCGTCTGTCGTGACAACGCTACACAAGTCCGCTCGAGGACGTAGCAGTGAACTAGGCTTGTTCAAGTACCAGACTTTAAAAATCTAAAAGCCTGATTTTTTTTAAAATGAAGCCACGTCACATTTTAATCAAGTGAGACAGAGTGATAATTTTTACGACCTGTTTTCTAAAACAAGGAGGCTCATTTCTAATGACTGGTAAAAGCAATTCCAGGACTTCTGGGAACTGAATCAGTTCTGGGGCTCAGTGGGGTGGCTCTTCGGTTGTGGGGCAAAAGATCTGCAATGGTTGATGCAGTATGGGGCAGCCGGTCACACTGCGGAACGTGTTTTGACCTGACTGAAGGGGCATATTTGCGATGGCGCCATCAGACCTTTAACAGAGCACTCAGGTGCGCAACACAGTCCAGTTTTGAACACATCTGACTTTCCTTAAAACTTTTCTTTTCCTTTGAATTGTCTCAAAGATCAAATCCAAAGCCTTTGGGACCTCAACATGGAGTTTGTGAGAGCTACCACGCCGAGGCAGTGTGAGAACGCTACACAACGTTTTTGTCAGTACGTGTATACGCAAATACATTGTACGTGATGGGGTCGAGTGGAGCATCTTTTGTAAAGATGACAGTCCTAATGTAGATTTCTTTTTCATGTAATAAATTATTGTAACTGTCGATTCAGATGATTCTGTCAAATTTCTACCAAATGTCTTTGTTGTATGTTAAGCCAGTGGGTTTTTTTCTGGTTTAATTTTTATTTTCGACTTAATTAATTTTTTTTTGCGGTCATCGACAAATGTGTCATGGAGCGGTGGAATCAGGCGCTCGTCAGTTTTGAGGCATATTATGGAGTTATCGGTAGTATCGAAGAGCATGTTCATATAGTTTGCTTTTGAAGAAAATAATACTCATCGATCGTGAACAGAAGTCGAGATGTGATTAGAGGAGGTAGGGGCCTCCTCATACTTGAGTGAAAATAAGTGAGAAAATGGCAGCCAAATTTTGGTGTCTTCCAACGCTTGAGTGTCCATGCAAATTGCAAATCTACATCTTTTGTGTCTTTGATCAACTTGTTTTCCCAGTAAAATCCACAGAGCAATGTGTTTTTGTGTTTTTAAATGGGCACAAAAGGTGTTGAGCAAAAAAGACTGAAATTTTAATGTTAAAAAAAAGGTAAATATTGTCCAACGAGCGGAAAAACCTATTTTATGATTTCATTATTTTATCGACAGTCCGATTTCACCTCGGCGCAACACATATAATGTGTACGATTCCTGATTTGGTAAGTTGCTTTTATTTCCGAGGTTGTTTTTTTTAAATTAGGTATCTCTATCAGTTTGTCATTTTAAGCTATCGTTCATTCTCTGTCGGCGTTGGTTAACCCAAAAAGGCAATACCGAAGTATCCAGCTTCCAACATGATACAAATTGTGTTGATAAGGGCGGGAGAGGGGTTGGCGGGTGCTCTGATTTGGCCCCTCTTTCCTATCAAACATCAATCGTCCTTATCTCTTCTCATTCATTTTATTTTTGTATGTCACGCTCTAATAACTCATCTTTGCTTTGGCACTAATTTTTGTGAACAACAAAAACTAAAACTAGGAATTATTTAAAAAATCAATTTTTTTCAAGGAAATGTTCTTTTACTACCAATGTTAATCCAAGAGTGACTTAGAATTAAGTATTTTGACTATATCAGATTATGTTTAATTCAAACATACTTGCCTATAGCACGGTGTGCATCTTTTTTTTTTTAGTTAAACCTTGTTTAGATCATAATAAAAACAGCTTCTACTCCACAACCTGAAAGTATTTACAGTAGGATGGGATCATTGAAATACGAGTATTTGTGTGTTTGTGTATGTATGTATGTACGTGTGTATGTGTGTGTGTGTGTGTGTGCGTGTATGTGTGTGGGGGGGGAGGAGGGGATGGTTGTGTGCGTTGGGGATGGGGGGTGGCTATAAGATTACATGGAGTCAAATGAATACGAAATGTATACACTGTTATAATTATACAATGGTTGCAAATATAGTGTCTACCAGTTGTAATACATGCATTTGTGTGTGGGGGTTTTGTTGTGTGTATGTGGGGGGGGGTGGCTAAAAGATCACAGGGAGTCAATTGGAAACGAAATGTCAACACACTTTGTTATGATAAACTATTGATTTACAAGTATACCAGCTGCATGAGTATACAAAGCAAGAGAATCAGGCCACAAAAGCAAGGATAGACAACGCCAAACTTTGCTTAATAGTATCAAAGAGGTCCTTCAAAAGAATGATTATATCTACAAGAGAAGCCACACACTAACCCTTGACTGAAAACCGTATCTCCCCACGGAATTTTACGCCAGAAGAGGAAGAAAACAGTGAGTTGCAAAAATACACGTTCTGAAGGCATTTTGTACTAAGCGTTTTTGGATGCCGTATAAAATAACAGGTACATAAAAATGAGGTAAAGTATGTGCTTAACATCTCTTTCAACACTGTATAGTTGCCTAAAAGGAAGGATCCCAAAATTAACGTAACGCCCTCTTTCGATAGAACACACCCACGTATGTAGGTGGGTTGCCTTGAAAACTCTTAATTTCAAGCTCAAGAACGATTCATTTGGGGGTTCAAAACGCCATTCGCCTGAAAGCCAAGCAGAATACTAACTCAGCAAACCCCATGCTGGGAGGGCGGGGCAGATAGGGGGAGAGAGGAAGAGGGGGAGAGAGGGGGAGAGGGGGAGAGAAGGGGAGGGAGAGGGAGAGGGAGAGAATTAGAGGGAGAGAAGGAGAGGGAGAGAAGGAGAGGGAGAGAAGGAGAGGGAAAGAGAGAGAGGGGGAGAGAGATTGAGAGGGGGGAAGAGGGGGAGTAGGGAGAGGGAGAGAGAGGGGGAGTTAGAGAGGGAGGGAGGGAGAGAGGGGAAAAAAGCAAGAGAGGAGAGAGGGAGAAGAAGAGGGAGAGGAACAGACAGACAGACAGACAGACAGACAGACAGACAGACAGACAGACAGACAGAGACAAAGAGAGAGAGGGAGAGAGAGAGAGAGAGAGAGAGAGAGAGAGAGAGAGAGAGAGAGAGAGAGAATAAGAAAGAAAGAAATTCAACATCCCAGCAGAAAGATCGAGATACTCGACAAGATTTATCCCTACTCGAAAAATGAATTCGGCGACAGCGAAGCGACTAATCGGTACACCACAGTCGCCGCATAGCTTTTACCAAGATAGGCAATTATGACATGACTGTTTTGTGAAATTCGTTTCAAGAAAAGTTAAAAGAGCCTATTTTGAGGAGCCATCAAACCTCAAAAGTACCCCACTTCGTGTCACAGAGGATCTGACGGCAGTCAACTATCAGCTGTTGCAATGAGTGCAGTACATCCGGTGAGTCGCCCATGGTTGAAGCAGAGGGCGTGATCTACACGAATAATATCGAAGGCACGAAGGCACTGGAGTAAGGGTAGATCACTGAACAAACCTTCACGACTTCATCTTTCACCGAAAAGAGCATCTTCGTTTTGGTAAAAGTTTTACGGCGCTAAACTTGCAACTGCTTTATAAGGTCATACGACAGCGCGGAAAGTCACAAAGGTTGCAGTGTTTATAAAAAGCATAGTAAAAAATGAGTGTTAGAGGCATTCATTTACATTATCAAAACAACACTTGTAGTAACATTTTTCGAAGTTTGCCTTCGAACAGTTCGTAGCTCCAAGCATAATGCTGCAAGGGTCCTTGGTCTACTTTTAACCACATCAACCCCCCAGGGTGGTGCTACCGACTGAAGTATCTTTAGGCCATTCCCAAAGGGGGGGACATTTCTCGTTCAAGCACAGTAGAATTGTAAATGGGCTGATTTATCAATGTCACGCTCATAACTGTGCCTGCTCTACAACAGGGAACTGCTGCTTTTTCTTTCCAAATCCTTACTATTGTCATTTTTCCTCTACTTCTTTTATATGTTTGTCACACTTTTGTGACCCGCTATTTCCGGGGAGCCTTGATAGTCGAAGCAGACTTTGTGCTGTTGAAGCTAGAGAGATGAGAAGAGTAAGACTGATTCCCTGTAAGGGCTTCTCTGTTGACATCCACCCCTTGGCGCTCATATGACCTTATGCAGTTGCGAGCGCCGTAAAACCTCTACTGAAACATAACCTTCATAACAGTACCGGTACTCCGACCATTTATTCATTCACAAAATGTACATCAGCAGATCTTAGTGAGTCTCCAATGAATCCTCGCAACATTATTATCTCTGACCCAACACCACGCAGGGCCAGTGGCAGCCATCAACGTCACAGTGGGTCAGAGCTCAGCAATAAATCGTCACCTGCCTCGACAAAGAAGGACCCCTTCCTGCTTGGACCCTGCCTACCAGAGCCAACTTGGGATTAGTGCAACATGTCGTTCCAGAAGACTGATGGAAACCCTAACCATAACCCTAATCATAACCCTTACTCTAACACTAAACCTAACATTTTAACTTAGCCCAAACCCCAACCCCAACATCAACCCACATCTTAACCCTAATCCTAACCCTAAATGTTACCCTAACTCTTACCCTAACCGTCGACATGCTCCTCTCTATCAATCTAAACCAGTTATCAGCTGGCCCCTCTCCACCAATGACCCTAGGCTGGAAAGGTCAAACAGCCCACCTCCTAAAGGTCATAAATTGCATAAAGTGGATAGTGAAACTTTTATTACAAAATTTAATATCCCGTTATATCCTAGGGTCCGATCCCCCCCCCCCCCTTTCGTCCCCCCGCAAAACAGATTATGGTGTTCATAATATACCCGTTGAGTATGGATGTCTTTTCACTTTTCGAACACCTTGACTGGCACATTATAATACCGTCCCTGCAATGGGCCTAAACAGTGATATTACAAGCTTAATTAATGCATTTGAACCAATACTTGCCAAGCTGGTCGGTGTCGTCTATCAGTGTGCGATGTGATAATATTGGTTGGCGGTAGGGGTCACCCGAGTGCTAACTGGTGTTGTAATAACAGTATGCTCCGCTCGGAAATACAATATAGAAGTGACAGGTGTAATGGTAGTAGGCCTACGTGTGTATCATGCCCCGCTTGGAAATACTAAGCGGGCGGTTGGAGGGCGCCACTGCGTAATCTCAGAATGACAAAGTTCTATCTGCTCATTACCTAGTTTTGAGAAATTTAACGTCAAATATTTTGAGTTTTACATCTTGTCATTCTTTTTCGAACGCATTTCTTTGAATATCTTGATAATCACTCTGAAAAATCTTACGATTTTTACAGAGCAGATAGAACATTTGGCTTCTGAACTCTCGATCTTAGTGACTCCAAACGGCCAAAATTGTCAGCTAGAACTTTATAATTCTGAGGTAGTGAGTCTTGAAGACGATCTGCTATAGGCATCTTGAAAAAAAACATTGCTATCCATGCAGATGTTTGTTTCTATTCTATGTTTCTTTATCTGAAACTTCAAAAAGGCAGGTAAAAACATGCAAACCAAACTATGGAATATGCACATTTGTGTTTCCGCATGTGTGTATGATGGTTCAAACCGTGCCTAGTTGCCTTGGTCAACTACTGATCGAACAAATGTGTCCAGTGTCCACCACATCCTTGAAAAGTTCATTCATGTGGGACGTCAGAAAGCTAAGGCTAAGGTGACTGAGAATGCATAACTGAAATAAATTCCACACA